CAAGCCGAGAAAAGAGTGGTGGGGGGGGGGGAGTCTTTAAGGTACGACAAGCCTCTTTGCTGTTTTCGGTGGCAACTCCTCCTCTGCTGACAATACTCGTGGCCCAGGTGCAGACGTGGCATCAACCAGGAGGCAAAGAGGAGGAGAAGTCCTGCTTCACCAGCCTGGAAACCTTCTCAGAACACATCTCAACCTTTTCTCTTGTAAGAAAAAGAAAACAGTGCACACACACACACACACACACGCCTGCATCTTGGAGGGACAGCTCCTCCTTTTGCACTTGGTGAACTTCACCAAATATATAGGAAGAAACTACAGGGCAGTAACTGACTATGGTGGCTTTGGCAGCCACGGAGGAGGAGGAGGAGGAGGAGGAGGAGGAAAGGCAACAGAAACATTGATCCTTCCTATCTTTGCTGCTCTCCTTGAAATCCATCCAGCTGCCCCCACCACCACCACCAGCAGCCCGATCAGAGTCCCACCCACATCAGGTGGGGAAACTTGCTTTATAGAAATAACATGTGGGGAAACGGGCAGGCACTTATCATAATCAATGCAGTTGATGCACATTTTTCTCAATCCATGGATTTTTACACATTTCCACCCAATGACTGGATCATATTTGTGTACATTTTTTAAAAATACAGGTACTTTAGATGTGTTGAGTTATTTGCACAGAAATGAAAATGAAAAAAGATTATCGTGCTTGCAGTTTCGTCTTGAAGATGGGAAGCCTAACGAAAGGGGTATGCTTTTGTTCATAATTCTCAGACCATAAATTGGGTAAAGCTGTTTAAAAGTGTGTATGTGTGTGTGCGTGTGTGTGTGTGTGTGCGCATACGTGTGTGCAGGGGGGGGGGTACCTGCAGTGAATGCCAATTCCTTTTCTTGTGTGCAGGGGGGTGTACCTGCAGTGAATGCCAATTCCTTTTCTACCCCTGAGGGGAAGCAGTTATCAGGAAGGGGGAGGCTGTGCCCTCTGAGTCAGCGCCGCCTTTCCTGCCTTGACAGTTGACGGGAGCGGGGGGGGGGGAGAGCACTGGCCTCGTCTGGGGCTGCCAGTCCTGGAGAGGCACCCGTCTGGGCAGCGCCTTGCCCTGCTGGGAAAGTCCTGGCAGCCAGAGAGGCAGGCCGGCAAAACCGGAGAGACAAGGCAGAGCCGGAGAGCCAAACGCAGGAAGACAAGCTGGGTGCTAATGACCCTTCGGCCGGCCAGCCTGTTGACACCTCCGTTCAACATCACCTCTGATTTCTGTCTCTTCAATCTCCTCGGTGCTGGGGATGAGCAGCAGGCCAGGCCAGGCCAGGCTCCCCACCACCACCACCACCCCCCCTTGGGAGGGCCTTCTCCTGTCAGAGGGACTGCATCCCACATCTAGCCTAGGGACCTCCATTTCCCGGGTCTCCCCAATGTTATGTCTTCTCCACTGTTTGACAAAACATCCTTATATTTTACTTCAAGGAGCTGTAAGCATCATGTTGAGACTGGAGCCTGGGGTGGTTGAAGCTGAGTCTACTGGCAGCAGACCATAGATGTGCCCAAATCCTGCTTAGAGGGTACGGTGGCTTCCTGCTTCACTCCTGCTTTGGACAAATGGTGGTGGAACTGCTTCTGGTTCATTCAGAATATAGAGTTCTGCAACTTCCTTTTGGGGGACATCATGGACTTTGACAACCAGGCTGCTTTTTCCTTCAGCTTCGGTCTCAGTGGGTCAAGGCAGTCGCCACATTTGCAATGTTGCTGAGTTTTGATGTCGAGCTTTTTAAAGACAAGCCCTACGTCCTGATCTCCCCCTTGCACCAGAGAGGACAGCAGTGCCTTTTCCCCTGTTTTTCCTATCTGTCCTGCAAGATCTCTCTCATGTCACTCTAGTTCTAACGGCCAGGTAGGTGTTTCCTCCCTCCCTCCCTCCCTCCCTCCCTTGTCCTGTGGTCATAATGGAATGGGCAACTATTCAGAGAGGCTGACTGCTGATTCAAATTTAGATTTGAAATAACATTATTAACATACCTGTTAGCATCTAATTTAGGATTTGTTTTATTTTAGTAAGAACAGGTCTGTGGATTGGGAGGTCCCATCCAATTTTGCAAGAATTATCATCATCATCATCACCACCACCACCACCACCACTTATCCTAATGATAGCATTTCACCCATTTCCTTGGCCAAAAAGAGACTCCTGCAGTTTTTGCATTGGGCTTTTCCAACAGGCTGGCGGAGGGACTGTGGAGGACAAGGAGGGGAAAGAAACCCAGCTGAGACACACAGACCTTTTGTTTCTCAAAAGCAAACTGTTTTTTGCTTCCTTGACAGTAAGTGTCGTCCCCCCCCCCCCCCCCCGGTCCAGCTCCGACTACATTTTTTAATTCAGCAAGCACCATTTCTACACAAATAATGCAAATGGTGTCAAATCAGGAGAACGGCTGCTGTCCCTCTTTGTGCCTCCGGGTTCTTCAGTCCGGCAGACCTTCTCCCGCGCTTGCTCTTCTCTGCACTGGTGTGTGTGGGCAGGCTAAGATCCACAAGGAGGAAAGACACTCAGATCTTGAGGAAGAAAAGGGTTCTTTGCCCAGTTTGGGTTCTGTGGGGAAGAAATCTTGTGGAGCTGAAAGCTTGTGAAGGCCCTGAGGCAGCTGAAAATCTGCAAGAATCAGTGGCTCTTGGATGATGCCTCAGCATCAGTTATCATCTTCCATCAGGCACTGTCTCTGGGAGGGACTCTGGGGTAGAGGATGGGAAACAAAGCCCCATTAGCCCCCCTCCTGTGCTGGCCAATGGATCAGGAAGCTGAGGGTGCAGCCTCCGTGTGACCAGGAGTCTCCAGGCCAACGGCAGAGGGTGTCAGAAGGGGCTTTTTGCTGATCACTGGTTTATAGATAACATTGACTAATTGGCTGTTAGCATCCTCCTCCACCACCACTACCACCGCCGCCTCCTCCTCTTGCCACCACCAGGGTACACACAACATTTGGTAGCCAAACCAACCATACCAGCCTGCAGCGGAGTCCATGCTCCTCCTCATTCGGGTTTTGCTTTACATGAGACACATTTTCCCATTATTAGTTATTCTGACATTTAAGAATAGTGCTGCAAGTGTTGATTCCAGGGTAAAAGGGGGGGGGAGGTTTGACTCCCATGACTTCTCTACTCAAAGCGCAGCGTGGGGGGGGGGGAAGCAGTCCCACAGCCCTGGCCCCTTCAGCATGAGGAAAACATTGGCCCAGTTCCCCGCAGGGCGGTATTGTTTTCTCTGCCCTCAGGATGGAGAAAGAGTGCTCTGCTCAGGACTGGGGCCAGGAAGGAGGGAGGGACAGGCCTACGTGTGGGGGGGGGAGGGAGGGAGGATCTCCTCCAGAGGGGGCCAGGCAGCACCCATTTGCTCACACCCACCTAAGATAAGAGCCCCACTCCAGGCATGGAAGAAACCCAGCGCCATGCTTCTGTCCCCTACACACCCCCAAATCACGCCCCCCCCCTTGCTGTCCATCACAGGGGTCTCACTTGGCAGTGATGCAGCCTGTGGGGCAAGGAGTGCCTCAGGAGGAGGACGTGGCGGCAGCAGACACGGGACGTGCTCCGCCTCGCAGCTCAAGGTTCCCGCAAAGAGAGGCAACAATTCCAGATGTTTGGAAGCCATCCTGGGGAGGGGAGGTGGAGCTACTATTTTCTCCAGGTTTTTCCCCCCTCGAAAATAATAGGAAGTTTTGACAAGAACGGAAATATTTGCAATACTTATTTCCATACCTGATACAGAGTCAAATTACTACTTGGACAACAGAAAACATTTCACTCATGACTAGATTGTTCTAGTTGTATCTCCTGTCCAAAAAAGACCTGGAACGGGTGCATCCTTTGCATCGCCACCCACAAAAAAAGGAAGGCCCCCACCCTCATGAACCAAGGCAACCACACACACACCATGGGTTGGGAATGGAAGGACCACAGGCGCCTGCAGCTGATGCGGAAATTACAGCACTCTAATCCTGCAGGCTGCCGAATGTATAAATCTTTAGACTGTGCAGTTCCTGCCATTTTAAGGGAGTAAAATCTTGCCTTAAACAGCATTTCCCTCCATCCAAAAGAGAAACAATATCATCAGCAGGTTATCTTAGGCTTCCCAAATTCTCAAATGTTTCCACCAGAAGCATTCTAAAAATTTGTCCTTGGGGTAGGTGGGGTGGGGGGAATGGGCCAAAAAAGACACCCACCATTTCCTCCCTTTTCTTCCTGAGATCCTATTCCCCCCCCCCACATCTTCCTCCAAGGCGTCCCTCGCAGCCAGTCTAGAACCCGGTGCCCAGCAGAGGGAAGGCGCGCGCGGTCCTTACCGGCACAGGGGGTCCGACTGGCACTGGTTGCGCAGGTCCAGGCAGTTGGCCTGCTCCTTCTCGTCATAGGAGCAGTCGGGGACGATGGTCTGCCGCCGGCGCTCGGCGCAAGCCTGATCCTTGCAGGAGCAGAAGAGCAGCCGGTAGGTGTACTCGCTAGGCACCCGGTCAAAGAACTGGCGCAGGGCTTTGTGGCACTTGCGGCGGTTGCAGCGCTCCGGGGAAGAGACCCCCTTGTTGCAGGTGGAGATGTAGGTGGATCGGAGCCTCTTGCAGTTGTCGTTCAGGTTGCAGGCCTTGGCGGCATCTAGGCAGTGGTTGCTTTTCGAGTTGCCCGCTGAATCCATTCCTGCCCAAGGAGAGGAAGCAGGGGAGGGGTTAGGGTTACTCGGGGGGGGGCGCGCAGGCGCAGGGCCAGGCTGGTTCCGGGCAGAGTCCCAGAGGAGCAGGAAGGGGCAGGATGATGGGCATGGGGGTTGGGCGGGGTAGCTAAGGCAAGGCAGGCAACCCAGAAGGGGCCAAGGAGGATCCATCCCACGTCCCCTCAGGCAGCTCGACTGTACCCCACTGCGCCCCCAGATGTAGCGCAAGGCCCCTGGCAAGCACCTGGAACGCAGGGACTGAGGAAGGCAAACGGTGCCCCACGCCTTGGGTACCGACCGCCCCGGCTGATGCAGGTCCCTCGTAGGGAGACTCGGGCCACCCCGGCCTCTCTGAGGGCTGCTTGGCCACAGGGTCTTTCCATCCATCTGTCCGTCCATCCAGCATCTGCTACACATAGACCCCGGGTGGCCAGCGGGTGGCATCTCCTGAGGCAGCTGCCCTGAGAGGGGCGTGCCCACCACCCCGCAGGCCGTCCTGCTGCTCCACAGCCAAACAGCCTCCCCTGCCAAGAAAGGATTCCTTGCAGGCAGACCTCTGCGACCGACGTCTTCAGGCCGTGTCGCTTTAGCCACTCTTCTCCCAGCTAAAATTCACCCAGTTCTCACCAGACGGCACAGAGACCAGCAGGAATTTCTGGCCATTGCACGAGCAGGCGAGTGAGCAGGGGAGTGAAGCATGTTTATGGGTGCCTATCAGCTGTAGCCACTCAGGGGACTCTTGGTCAGCCAGAAGTCCCAAGAAGTCCAGCCAAATGCCCACGGGAACAGCACAAGACACACAGAAAAAGGGGCACAGACAGGGGCAGGTGGCACTGCTGCTGCTGCTGCTGCTGCTGCTGTATCTCTTGGATCCCCTTGCAAGTGCAAGAACCTGCCACCAGAGCCCCCTTCCAAGGCTGGACGGGCAGCGCCCTGGAAAGCGGCTTCCCTTCCCATTCCTCACTGGGGCTGCTTCTGGACAAGACCAACCACAAGCGACAAATGCCCTGGCAGGCCGCCAGGAGAAAGGGGCCGCCCGGACACCCCGGCCCCAAGCCCAGGAGCCAAGGGCAGGCAAGTCACCCTCTCCTGCAGCTGCTGCCCTGGCATCCACCCCTTGGCATTCGGTGCCTCCCTTGGCACTCTGCCATTCCCAGCTATCAGCTTTTCTGATACATTTAACATTCTTCAAGTGTTAATACAGCATAAAATTAAACTCCTAGTCAGCAGAACACATCACAACATGTGAGCAAAAAGGAGGTTCTCTCTCTCTCTCTCTCTCTCTCTCTCTCTTTCTCTCCACTGTCCCAAGGAAGCATCCCTGAACTCTCCTCACCACAACGACCACCACCTTGCTGAAGATCTCAATGTTCCTCCAGGCCCAAGGGGCACAACCCTGGTGAACTCTGGAAATGCGCCATCCCCAGAATGTATGTGGACCTGCTCATTGAGCACAGGCTGAGAAGATGGCCAGGAGGAAAGGAGAAAGGAGGAAAAGGCAGCAGAGAACGGAACGGCGGCTGGGCTCCGGAGGCCACACACCCTGCCATTCCCATCGTTGTGCCTCCCAGCTATGCTCAGCGAGGGTGGCGTCCTGCCTCTGCCCATGGAGCAAATTGCCCATCCATCCACCCCCAGCCAGCCAGCCCAGTGGCCCTCCACCTGTGCCAGTCTCCCTGTTGATTGGCCCCACTTACCCTGCCGGTCCAGATGCCATCCTGGCACTCCCCCCCCATCCCGCCAAGCTTCTTAGCTTCTCAAGCAAAAACTGTGGAAAGACAGAGTAGCATTGCTAATCTGCTTTTGAGGGAGACCTGGTGGGCCTGACAGCTAAGGAAGGAAGGAAGAGCTGGGGGGAGGGAGGGGTGTCTCTGAAACTGAAGTAACACATTTTCTGTGTCTGCCTTTGGATGCAACCTAAGAGTAGTTGCTTTGCATCCTCTCACGGCAGGCCACTGAGAAAATGAGACTTTTCCACCTAGAGGTTCTTCTCTGCTGGTGGAAGGGACGCTCCCCCACCCCACCTCCCACTTCGATAGACGCACTCTCTGAAAGCACTTTTGGCATCGAGATCTAGAACAAACACACCCAAGAGCTGATGCTTCAGGATGCCAAACAAGGCAAGACTCCTACTTTCCGCCCTTAAATAGTTTATTGATGGTGATTTAATTCAGAGCGGAAAATGAACGCTATTGTCAACTAGAAGACATTTCTTGGAAAAGAGCTTTGCAAATTTCCTTTGAAATGCTGAGCTGCGTTTCCTGTCCAAAGAAGGAGGATGGTGGATGGGGCCCAAATTTCCCTTGCCCTAAAGGCAACAAACACAAACTATGGAGCGTTCCTTGGATAAACGGGAGAGCCGGACGGAGCAGGCCCCCATCCGCTGCCCAGGGGCGCTCAAGGGAAGCGGGCTCCCGGCCCGGCCCTGCGTTTGCCCTCCCAGCCACTCTCAGGACTTTAGAGAGGAAAGAGCTCGCAGGCCACGTGGGGTGGAGGGAGGTCCCTCCTCCTCCTTGGCCGCAACGCCTTCTGCGGAGACACCTTGAAGGGGAGGTGGCCAGGTACCGCAATGGGAGTCCAAAGAGAGGACTGGTTCCCATAAAACTACATCTATGAACCTGCATGCACAGGTGCAAAGATACCAAACAACCATCCTCCCCTCTTTTTTTGGGAGGCAGAGGGGTGATGTTCCTTCAGGTGAGCCTGCGGTCCAGGCGCTGTTCATGGTAGGTGAGGGACAAGGTCAAGCGCTCCCTGCTGTACCTCCATGCGGTTCTCTTTATTCTTAAGCCAGGCATGGGCTGGACTCCCCTATAAATGGAGGACTGCCCTCCCTAGAAGAGGAAATGAGATCACCCGGCTCAGAGGCTCCTAAACGGCATCCAAGTGACAAGGAGACCGCTTTCCCCATCAAGAGCAAAAGCTGACTGTATTACTGCGTGTTCCCTGGGAAGCGACGCAATCAGCTCCCCTCCGCTTCATCAGCTCTGCCCATGACTGACGAGTGAGTGTATTTTTAAAATATCTGTTATCTACCACTGTTGAGCCATAAACTTCACAGCAGTCCCCATTTTAAAGCTAGCAACTAAGAGATGCACTGATGAAACAGAAAAACAAAACCAGCCTGTTACCACAAAGGAGCACAGCCAAATCCCCAAACAGCTGCAGCCTGCCAAGCTCTCCTTCCAAACAGCCCCTTCCAAAGGCTTGTTGAAATGAAAACCATGTGCAGAAGCAAGCTGAGAGAGAGATAAGCAGAGAGCCTCCGTCAGCTCTCCCGGTTTCGTGCGCTCACAAACGGCAGTGCAGGAGCAACCGCACAGGCCGGGGAAGTTGGCGGCTCCCGCTCAGCATTGGTCACACAGCCCCCCCTCCTCGGACGGGCTCTTGGCCGAGAGGTCAGGCTTTTCTACAGAGCCGTTGCCAGAGGAAACCAGAGCCTCCCGCTCAGTCTACAGTCCAAGAGGATAAAGAGGGTAGCTGACCTGGCCGGCTCGGGAGGGCTTGGGCACAACAGTGCTCAAGACCATCGCTCTGCCTCCTATCCAGGCCTCCTCCAGCAACTCCGCTTTCCAGAGTGGTGACAATCTACCTGCTTTTTGTCCTTTTATGGCACTCAGACCCTCTGGCTTGGAGGCAGGGACTGGACCGAACAGGCCAACCTTTTAAAATGAGCAGCAACACCCCACCCCTGAGCTCCCCCCTCCCGCCTCCTGAAAAAGGCTGAAAAGGACGGGCAGTGCAGCCAAAAAATAAAATAAAAAAAACAGTTCCGGAAGGGTTCTGGTTTCGATCTAGATGAGTCCAAACTGAGAAACCAGATTTTCATGTCACCCAATCTGGCCTCTTGCAGCTGCCCAGAGCTGAACTGACCCTTTCACTCTGCTCTGCAGCGTTACAGTCTTGAGAAAGAATGAAGGGCAAGCCCCGGTCCCATGGTTGGGGCTCTTGGAGCTGCCAGCACAGGGCTGCCCCTCCCCAGGGCTTGCTGTCCAGCATGGGGACACACGGGGCCTCTTCTCACACTAGCGCGTGTGATACCTCTAGAGCAAGAATGAACATCACTAACGTTGATCTCCCCAAGAGGAATGAAAACGTTTCAGAAGTTCTCCTCCAAAGGGGGAGATCACAAGAGATCTCTGTGCCTTTTTCACACTTCAAGACCCTTTTTTTAAAACAACAACAACAACAACAACAAACCGTTTTTGCACAAAAGCATTGTAATTTTTCACAACATGCAAACTTGGTGTTTTGTTGTTGTTTTCAGAATAAACAGACACAAGGGTTTGTGGAGACAAAACTCCCAACGGGGGTTGGGGTAGAGCTGCTGCCGCCGCTGCTGCTGACCAAAGCAAAGCACCCCTAGTGATTCCCTCTCTTGGGCAGGAGTCCCAAAAATGTCCCACGTTTGGCATGGTTTTGGACCAGGAGCCTCCATGTGTGTGGAGAGGAGCTTTTCCATCCAGGGGCAAAATGTTTGGGCGCCTTTGCTACATCCTTATCCTACAGCAAGGTCAGCGCAGGGGCCAAGTCCAGCCGCAGGCAGAGCTGTGCAGAGTCAGAGCTCATTTAACCCCTGGCCTGACAAAGCCAGCAAAGGGGTCTTCCCTCCACTGACAGGGAGAAAGGCTCCCCTCCCGAGCAGGTGTTTCGCACTATAAAAGGAAGGGACGTGTTCCGTTTTGCCTGCCCTGTCTCTTGGGGGAGGCTCTCACACCAGCAGCACGCACACACGCATGCACGCAGCAGCAAGCAGGCCATCAGGCGTGGGAAGCCTCGTCAAAGAGCCGCCAGGTCCCCCGTCCTTCCTAACCCGCGTGGCCAGCATCCAAACCGCTGCCACCATAGCAACAAGGCAGTCAGCAAGGAATGCGCAAATAAGGACGGTGCTCCTACGATGTGCAAAGAATAGAGCTGAAGGCAGGTCAAGAGGTTTCTGGGCCCTTGGCAGCGTCTGAGTTGAGACACACTCCAGCCCCAAGAAACTCAAAGAGCAGCCGACCCGCAGGAGCGACCCGAAGGCCTTCGCTCCCTCTGCTCCCCTCTCGTGCAGGGAGACGGTTTGGATGGCCTTCCATAGTTGTGGCTTGAAAGCAATGGCACAAGAGGGTGTCCTTGGGGGGGGGCTCCTGGGGGGAGGGAAAGGCGCTTATGGGCTGTGGAACGAGGGCTTGGGTCAGCAACCCTCCTTCCCCGTCTGTGCAGCTGGTCCTTCCCATCTGTCTCAAACGTGACTGCAGTTGTAGGTCAAAACTCCAACTATGAAAGGCACTGAATTTGGCCGAATAGAGTGGAGTGCCACCAACGTCATGAAGACAACATGGCTTTGTCTTTTCTTTTCTTTTGTTTCTTTGGACATTACCTGATATGTTTGGGTGACGTGGCCCAAGGGGCTGGCTGGACAGAGGAAGGCTGCACAGGGAGCTCCCTCCTCACAAGCGACCCTTCTCCTACACTGGCAGCAGATCCAGAGCATGCCCAGCGCCAGCGCCAGCGCCACCCCTCCCTCCCTCTCCCTTCAGGGTTTGGCCTTTCAGCCTCGCTTGGCAAGTGGCTGGCCTCTTTCTGGGGAAAAGGCTCTTTCCTGGGCCACCAGCCAGAAGCGCTCTCCTTAATGGGTGCCATTTGCAGGACTGGGAGGGATCCTGCTTTCCTCTGTTTCCATCTAAGGATCTCTATATTGTCCTTCAACAAAACATTCAGAGTGGGGTGTGGGGGGGGGACCTTGTTTGCCTCTCCTCTCCGTCCCTCCCTCTCGGCCTTCTTCTGTCTCCACCCCGCCTGCCCCTGCAATCTTCCCAAATGCCCTGGCAGGCCGGTCCCAAAGAGCCAGCTTGCCTTTCTTGCAGAGAGAATGGCCTCCCCGACGGGGTTAGGAGGAGGAGGGAGGCGTCCGTGGCCCTGGCCTGCATCCTGAGCAACAGGGAGACGGCATGCCCAGTGCACGGAAGGGAAGGGGCAAGACGCGGAAGGGGAAGGTCCCCAGGGCAGAGTCTGACGTGCAGAGATCCCTGTGCCCAGAGAACAGAGCTGGGGTGGGTCCTGCAGCTAGAAAGTCTGAAGGAGGCCAAAGATCAAGAGAGAACAAATGGGGGATGCTGAGAAATGAAACACGGACGGCACAATTATTTCCATGGAAAGGACAAATGGGAGGCTTCAGAACAGTCCCTGTGGCTACGCAGAGAGGACGCTTGCTTGGCTGAGCTGAATGGGAACCGAGAGGGAAGGGGCGGAGGCACAAATCCGGCTGGGCTCCAGGCTTTCTGGCAGGAGGACGTGGATGGTTTGGACCCTTTCGCATCTGCTTTGGGGCCAGAGGCCACTGGGGTTGACTTGATGGATGATCTCCAACA